TGTCATGACAGTGCTGATCAAGCGCAACACCACCATCCCCACCAAGCAGACCCAGACCTTCACCACTTACTCTGACAACCAGCCTGGGGTGCTGATCCAGGTAAGCACAGAGCTCTGGGATGATATGATGTAGTTCCAGTAACTCCTAGGCCAGAGGTGGTGTGTCCTGGCAGTTCATAAATCCCTGGTTGCTGTGATGAAAGTGATTCCAAAGCCATTCGTAGTTTCCACCAGAAGTCGAAAGACTTGTGTTGGTCCAAGTTCCTTCCTTGGATGTCTGAGCGACCACGTCCCCTCAGGATAATGAATAGTTCATTATGATTTAATAATGTTAACCTTAATGACATAATTGTCTGGTTTTGCTCACCAGGTGTACGAAGGAGAACGTGCCATGACTAAGGACAACAACTTGCTGGGCAAGTTCGAGCTGACTGGCATTCCCCCTGCTCCCAGAGGTGTCCCTCAGATTGAAGTAACCTTTGATATTGATGCCAATGGCATCCTGAACGTGTCTGCTGTGGACAAGAGCACTGGCAAGGAGAACAAGATCACCATCACAAATGACAAGGGTAAGGAACCCACATGTTCCTCAGGGTGGGAGGCTGGAGAGCTCTGACCTGTACCCTTTAATCACAGCTTGCTTGTAATTGGCATTTTCACATTGATTTATAGCAGTGAGCCTTGCATTGCTGCTGGTGCAGTAGTTCTAAGAAAGCACATTTTGTGCCTCTTTAGCCTGCCCAAACTAACCAGAAATGTGTTATTTTTAACATGTGGGAATTTGTGACTGAGCTCAAATCATGCCTTGTGCTTTGCAGGCCGGCTGAGCAAGGAAGACATTGAGAGGATGGTGCAGGAGGCAGAGAAGTACAAGGCAGAGGACGAGAAGCAGAGGGATAAGGTGTCCTCCAAGAACTCCCTGGAGTCCTATGCCTTCAACATGAAAGCAACTGTGGAGGATGAGAAGCTCCAGGGCAAGATCTCTGATGAGGACAAGCAGAAAATCCTGGACAAATGCAATGAGATCATCAACTGGCTGGACAAGAATCAGGTAGGTGACATTCCGTGCTCCTGGTGTCCGGCTGGGCTGGTCCAGGATGGTGGGAGAGCAATGGTTGCTGTGATGAAAGTGATTCCAAAGCCATTCGTAGTTTCCACCAGAAGTCGAAAGACTTGTGTTGGTCCAAGTTCCTTCCTTGGATGTCTGAGCGACCACATCTTCCACTCCCTCCTTTTTCCAGCTGGGTTTCTCCCTCACACCCGTGACCTGACCTCAAATGTTGCTCCTTGAGCAACAGGAGGTTGTGTTGAACTAAGCAGAAGTTCCCTTGGATCTATCCAATTCAAATCTGACTTGGTGGGGCTGAGCATAGCCTAAAATAATAATAATCTGGACTAAAAATAAGCCTGGGTTCTTGAAGTATGTAACCCCATTTTGTCTCTGGGCTGTGTCCATGGGTGAGAGCAAAGTTAACCGAGCTCTTGTCTTTTTCCAGACTGCAGAGAAGGAGGAGTTTGAGCACCAGCAGAAGGAGCTGGAGAAGGTCTGCAACCCCATCATCACCAAGCTGTACCAGAGCGCTGGAGGGATGCCCGGTGGGATGCCTGGAGGATTCCCAGGTGGTGGAGCTCCTCCCTCTGGGGGAGCCTCTTCTGGACCAACCATCGAGGAGGTGGACTAAGGACACTGGGAAATGCATTCCACTAGCAGTTAGTGTTGGAGGACCCCCAGGTGGGGGGTAGAGTGAAGGACCTACCTGTAGGCACATCTGGGTTGGTTTTGCCAGATTAAAAACTCCATAACTCAGCTGCTGTAAAAAAAAAAAAAAAAGAAAACAAAAATCAAAAGAAACATTTTTTCTGGGCATTTTAAATACTTGAAAGTGTGCACAGGAGGGAGATGAAACCATTGCACTTTACAGTACTGTAATGAGTGGAAATGCAGTTCATGTCCTAAAGAATAAAAGCTATTTAATGGGCATCACACTGTCTCTGTCTTCACTTATTGGTATTTGTAAACGAAGGGAAGAGAAGGGTAAATAGAATTAAAGTTAGAGAAGCTGTTGCTGGGTGGGAAGAGGTGGTTTTGGGTGGTGGTTTCACCAGTAATGGGCAGTAATAGCTATTTTATGGAAACTGCTGCAGTGGCAGTTATAAGGTGCAAGTGCAGTCCATGAGAACCTCTAGGACAGGATCAGTGGGAAGGGAGTTAAAAGAGATCATCCAGTCCCTCTGTCTGAGCAGGGCTGGGTGACCTGGTGTTTAAACCACAGTTTACCCTCCCTGTCAGTAAGGAAGCATTTCCCTGTCCGCTCTAACCCTGCAGCACAGCTTGGTGTTCCTGTGCACCCTGCCCCTGGATCCCAGGCAGGGATCAGCCTGTTCCCTTCACGAGGTCACCTCAAAACGAGGCAAACCCAGCTCCCTCAGCTGCCTGTGGCGTTCAGATCCCCACACTTCATTTTTGGGTCGTAGTGCCAGGGCTGTGTGTGGTACTTGGGGGCAGAGCAATGCTGGGAGAGCTTGTGGTTGGCAATTTATTTGGTAAAATGAAAGCAAACCATGAAATTTATTCCTCACACCTAATGGTGACTAGGGAGGGAAAATCCCATCCCTGTCTCCACTTCTCCTTCCCCCAGCTCTCTATGCTGACTGTGACCCCACAAGTTCTGGGGCATCCTTTGGGGTCACCTGTCCTGGCTGTGTCCCCTCCCAGCTCCTTGTGCCCCTCCAGGCTATACTTGATGGGGTGAGGACCAGAAGAGGCTTCTGTGCCAGCCCTGCTCAGCAGGAACTGAACCATCCCTGTGTGATCATCCCTGTTGTCATCCCACACCCCAATCACAGCCCTGGGCAAACCACTGTGAACAAATTACCCTGTCCCAGGTGACCTTGGCATAGGACAACAACAGGACTGTCCCTAGGTGTCCCCTCAACCTGTGCCTGCTGATTGCAACATCTGTGCACTGCCAGCTGCTATAACCCCTTAATAACAATTAGGGGAAAAACCAATGAATTAATCCTACCAAATTGGGTGGGAAATGAGTGTTGCTCTGCAGGGTTTAAATTCCATTCAGCTTGGGGTGGCTGGGAACCCTGCTGGCACTGCTGGTGCTGGGCCACCAGATAGCAGCACCTGACCATGGAATGGCACAGGGGCACCTTTTTTTGGTTGCCCTCCCTCTAAGGTTTTGAATTTTATCACTCAAAAATATTTATGGCATTTAACTGGATCCGTGGCAGCACCTCCCATGAATATTGTGTGGTGCCTTTGTTGCCCTAAGGGACACGAAGTGGAAATGGGGGTGGGAAAGTGGATTTTTAGGATGTTTTAGGACCAGTGGGTGAAGCCAGCACAGTTCTCACAGGAGGATGTTGCTGTCAGAGCTCTGGTTCAAACCCACCATCCTGCTCAGGCTCAGGGAGGAGGTTCCACACTGTAAATCCTAAACAAGCACAGGTACAGCCTGGGGGTCTGGCCAGGGGGATGTGGGACCCAGAGTGGGACAGAAGGAGCTGCTGCAGAGTTCTGCAGCCACAGCAGTGCTTGACACAGTCAGTTTTCATGAACAAATGAGTGAAAACGATGTTGAGTTTGTGACATTTTACATTAATGACAACAAAGAAACCTGAAGAGTTGTCTGCAAAACAGGGGAGCTGTTTTTAGGTTACTGTGTGGCTAATTCCAGCTCTTGATTTCAAGTTGCTTCCATCCCTCTTCTTTATAAGCACAAAATCAAATTTATCCTTTGTTAATAAATAAGGGAAGGAAACTTGAGAGTCAGACTCAGTTTATTTCCTTCACATACCACAAAATGCAAAGACAAGGAGCTCTGAAGAAGCTTTCACAGTCTCTTCAAGAAGAAGGTGTGATTGAAAGACAGTTTATTGATGTTAAACACTCGTGTTTGTGAGCAAACTTAGGTTCATAATCTGCAGTGGCCTTAAGGATAATGAACCAAGCTGTGCTGCTTTTCCCTGCCTTGTAGAAGAGGGAACTCCTTAACCTCCAACAGCTACAGAGGTGCTGTTTGTCGACTCTTTCAAACAGCCCTCAAGAACTCCCCCCACAAGCACAAGAGAATAAAAACACCTCAGGAAAGGTGGGGACTGGGTGTTCAGGGGCGGGTGGCTGTGAGGAAGGGGCACAGATCAAAGCTGTGGTTTGAAAGTGCTCGGTGTGAAGGCAAAATGCAGCTGAACCAGCAGACCCAGAGCCTGCTCGGTGCTGAGGCTCAGCACTTGTCTCCTGTCCCTGGTCAAGTGCCTGTTTTTCCATCACTCCAGGGGCTGTTTTGTTCCTGCTGAAAGCCCGAGGCATTTGCTGGAGGAGGGAGTGGATGGGGTTGGGAAAAGCCAGGATTAATGGGGCTGGCTGTGCCTTGGAGCCCTGTACCAGAACCAGCAGTGAATCC